CTCGACGCAGGAAGATAGGACGTATGGCTGCTCACTGCAGCAGGCATCGGGATACCGTGGAATTCACGCAAACGCGGTAAAACGAATTCGGTGAGGGTCGCGATGAGGTCGTACATAGCGGAGCCTTTGAGAGTGACTTTGGCACCGGCAGGCATACCCGCGCGGATCCACCCACCGACTTGCTTTTTGCCGAGGACGATTTCGACGCCTTTGACGCCTTTAGCTAAGGCCCCGCCTCCGGCTTCGGTTTCACCGCTGAGGGCGCGGAGGGCGGCAATGACACCGAGGAGGTTAGACCGGGATGTCAAAGCGTCTTTGGACATGATGTGGATTTGGACAGCCTGAAGACGGGTGATGTTCGCTGGCGTGCTTGATTCTGGAGGGATTTTGGACCACTGAATTCCACCGACCGGGTCGTTTTTGCGGTATTTGGCGTAGGGATTGGATGGGTCCCACCGTAGACGTATTTCACGTGGTGGTTTTGGTGGGAGGTCAGATTGCAGGGTGTGGGAGTAGTTCATGTACATGAGGTTGTCGGAGAGCGTGGTATGGTAGTGGTCGGATAGTCGACATGGTGCATATTCGCGCACACGGAGGTTTACTGGAGGTCGGGGAAGTTTTCGTCGTGTGTCTGCCGGAAGACGTTTACGGATTGGGGGCGGTTTACCGAAGCGCGTAGGCCGGGCGAGAGGCATGGAGGAAAGGCTGAAGAAAATACCCTCTTAGTGTGGTCACTTTTACAGTGTCAGAAATTTCGGAAAGTGCGTTGTTTGTTTTTCTCGTCAACCAAACAACCTTGGGCGCCTAAGTATATCTTTCTTTACTCCTTCCGCCTAATGGCCCCATTCAACCCCGAGAAATGGATAGAACAACTACGACAATGCCAGCACTTGCCAGAGGAATCAATGAAAACGCTGTGCGATAGAGTCCGGGGCCTGCTGGTGGAAGAATCGACAATCCGACCAGTATGCAGTCCGGTCACGATCTGTGGGGATATCCATGGTCAATTTTGGGATTTGTTAGAGTTGCTTAGAAAAGGAGGAGACGTTCCGGAGACAAGTTATATTTTCATGGCAAGTAGGTATCCTACTCTTAGATGGAATGACAAGGCTACAATTGCGAATTATCTGTTTCTGTACAGGGTGATTTCGTGGATAGAGGACATTATTCTTTGGAAACCGTCTCGATGCTCCTCGTGCTCAAGGCTACTTGGCCGGAAAAGGTGACTCTACTTAGAGGAAACCACGAATCGCGGCAGATAACGCAGGTGTACGGATTTTACGACGAGTGTCAACAGAAATACGGTTCAGCGACGGTGTGGAAAGCATGTTGTAGTGTTTTCGATTACCTGAACCTGGCTGCCATTATTGATGGGACAACGCTTTGTGTGCATGGAGGACTCAGCCCGGATATTAGAACCCTAGATCAAATTAGAGTGTTGAGTCGGGCGCAGGAGATTCCTCATGAAGGACCGTTTTGTGATTTGATGTGGAGCGATCCGGAGGAGTTGATGGAGAATTGGGCGGTTAGTCCTAGAGGTGCTGGCTGGTTGTTCGGCGGAGGTGTGACTAGAGAGGTGTGTTGGTCTGGATTTTTCTTTTTGGTCTGAGTATGGCGTGGCTGACTGTCCTTGCAGTTCAATCACGTCAATGGACTTTCTCTTATCGCTCGGGCGCATCAGCTTGTCCAGGAGGGATTCAAGTATATGTTTGACGAACAGTTAGTCACTGTATGGAGCGCGCCAAATTACTGTTATCGGTGCGGAAATCTGGCGTCGATCATGACGGTCCATGAGTCCGGCGAGAGGTCATTCGAGGTTTATGGCCCTGCGGAAGAGAATGCGAGGGATAAAGGCATGCAGACGAGGAGAATGGTAAGTCCATCTAACAGATATGAGATGCTATTCCATTGACTGACACCTGTTTCTTTTCGTATAGAATATGCCATATTTTGTATAAACTTGGACTCTCCTTCACGACTGTACACTATTGTTACACTTATCTTAAACAGGCGCGATCTATGTTCGGGCTCTCCATTTAAAGCCCTCGTATCGCTGGACGAGTAATAGCAGGTAAACCATTTATATTCTAGCAATTGATACTGCATAGAATTATTTATTCTTCAAACCAACTCCCGAGTCCTTCACAAAAACCCATACGCAGACTTGATAATATCAGCAGCATGTTCTGCAATGGCGTAGACAGCCGCTGAAGTATGTGCTGCAGGCAAACTGGGCTGTTGGAATATATTTGCATGAACCCGGATTACATTGAATGTTAAGAAACAACATACCGCAACACTAGCATCAACGATTCTCAACCCATTCACACCCTTCACTCTCAAATCAGGATCCACTACCCCCCAATCTGTGGTGCCGAAAGGGGACATGGCCGATGTCGATACTGGATGGAAGAAGCTGACTGCGTTGTTACGGATGAATTCGTCGATCTCGGCGTCTGTGGTAGCGTTTGTGAGGTCTTGGAGGATGTAATCGGACCATGCGGCGGCTTCGACGAATCTGTGCGCAGTGCGTATGGCTTCGCGCAGGATGTGGATGTCGACTTCGGCTGAGAGAAGGCCGGGATCGATGAGAGGTGCGTCGAAGGGGTTTGTGGAGTTGATGGTAACAGAGCCGGCTATGGAGTTATATGAGTATGGGTTGGAGGGTGTGGATTTTGAACTTGGACTGACATGATTTTGGAGATACGTTCCCTGATGGGATGTTCAGGTAGTTCCCGGAAGCTGTTATTTGACTCAGACCATTCTGTGACGAGGTAAGTTTGCCATTTAGTCAGAAACCTTGAAAATTGATATGTATAAAGGGGAGCCTACTTGGAACAAAAACTCAAAATGCGCCGTTTCATTCCCTGCTGCTGGATCTCCGAATGTTCGAAGCACAGTCGAGTTCTCCGGAAGTCGAAGAAACGCTAGATGGTTTTCGGAAGTATCGACATTGATTCCTGTTTTTGAATCCTCCCATTGTCGCAGGAGGCTTTCGCTCAGAGTCGCGTTACGCAGGACGGTGTCGTATGTGAGGGTGGAGTTTACGAGCCATGTGGAAGATACACCGATGTGGTCTGTGAGGTTTTGACCGACGGAAGGTAGGTTGATGAGGGGGGTGATTCCTAGGGAGGTGAGAGTTGTGGCGTTGCCGATTCCGGAATGGAGTAAGATGCTGGGGGTGCTTATTGCGCCGGCGGAGAGGATGACTTCCTTGGATGCAGTGAGATTTTTGAGGGTGCCTGTAGTTTCAATGATGAATTTAAATTGAATGTAGATATGATGTGAGCTCAAAAAACCGCACCGGAGACAGAGTCGAGATATTCTATCACGTTGAAGAAGTTGTTTGACGAAGGTAGTATTCTCGATACCCTGGTATTTAGTAAAATATCAAGGTTTTCTCGAGCTAGCACCTGGGGTGTAAAGTAGGATGCAGAGCTTGAACGGACACCTCGGTCTATGAGGGCTTGAACCCAGCCTTCGAGTTTTTTTTGTTGTGATAGGAGGGGATTCGGGAAGGTGAGAAAGTGAGTGCAATATGCTCAAGTTAGTTATTACATACCCACACCCAGCTGATCACCAGTATTCACATCGGTGGTGAACGGAAATTCATCTGGAAGCTCTTGGGTAGTCTGGATGACTCTACCATCAATGGCGCGTCCAGCCCCTGGAACGCTGACGCCAATGTACCCATCGAAACCATGGAACGAAGGGTTGAATTGGTTGGTGATGTTATGCCCGTCGACAGGGAGGTTAAATTTTTCACTCTGGAGTAGAGGAAGAAGGGAGGGAGGAGTTCGAGGAAGGATAGAAAGTACCAAAAAAATAAACAAAACAACAAACTTTTTTGAAAAACGGAAGCATCCTATCCCATCCCCAGCTCGAATCGTTCGTGAGTTCAGCCCATTTGTCGATGTTTTGTTTTGATCCCCGGGTGTAGACGAGGCAGTCTTGTATAGATAATATTATTATGAGTGAGGAAGACTCGGAGAAGGAAATAGCGTAAAGGGAAATAAAAAATCGGGGATACTAGGAAATATCAGGAAATTGTCGACGGGGCGGGATTACAAGGATATTAGTAACACAGGAAAACGGGAACCGGGAACAAGGTGAGAGGGAAAGGGAACACGAGTTTTTACTACAAGCCACGACGACATACTCACTAACTGCGCTTGTCCCACCCAAACCTATACCTCTCGGAAAAGGCAAGACACGATTATTTAAGTTAGGTTGGGGGGTTGTAGTAAAATTCCAGTCCCATTGGGTGTTTGGGGTTAGTTTGGTGCAGAGGAGAGGGACGTCGATGGTTAGGCTGTCGTTGTTGCTGGAGATGGCAGATGTTAGGAACAAAGTTTGAGATGGAATGGACAGGGATATTCGTGGATTTTGGGAATGGGAATGGGCTTACGCTCCACCTGCTTCGACTACGAGAACAGATACATTGGGGTCCTCTGTGAGTCTGTTTGATACTGCACTTCCTCCTGGACCGGCTGAGCAGAGGGGGTGTAAGTAAGATGAACATGGGGGTAAAACTGGAGTAAATGAAAGCACTTTCGTCCTTTCTTACCTCCGACGACGATAAAGTCATAGTAACTCTTGAGATCTGCTTGGGATTGTAAAATTGAGCCTTGGGCACCTTGGGCTAGTAGAGTGAGGAAAGTGAGGTATACGAGGAAGGGGGAGAACATGAAGAGAAGGGAAGAAGGCAATTGTGTTGCCAAAGGCTAGTGCTTAGCAGTGCTTGGCTGGCTTCGGAAGTATGTTCTGGGGTCATGAGTATATCTTTATGTATTGAAGAAGCTTTGGAAGCAGCATGGATGGTGGAGACAGAAAGTCCGGAGGCTGCAGTCTGATGACTAGACAGACAGAAGATATGTTTTCAATATGATCAATGTGTTCTTGTGCACCTGTTTTTGAAGGAAACTTATCAAAAGTTTTACCCGACTAACTGGATTAACAAGAAAAAGATAGATGTATGGGAATTCATATATTCAGGAATATTCCGATACGGGGAATCGAACCCCGGGCTATTGCGCATCCTAAAGTACGAGGGGAAATGAGAGGCAATAATGTTAGCCACTACACCATATCGGAAGTAAAAAAGGGATGATGAATATGCTGAGGAGTTTTCACCAGAAGGTGTTTTGTGTACATAAATGGTCATTCTAATATGCTAGTATTGTATTGAGAAAACCATGGAGATGATATACCAGCCAATGTCCACCAGTTTGAACAATTGCATTTGTATGATGTACCATCTGAGTTTTGGGAAATCATAGGAGTGTCACAAAGTGGCAGAGGCAGAGTGACTAAGTGGGGTGGCAGAGCGGAGCAATCAGCAGAGCATGGACAGACTGGTCCCAAGATAATGACAGAGAGGTCAAGATAAGGGACCAGGCTGTGGGGGCTGGCTTTATATACACAATCTGGTCTGCAAGAAATAATGATGTAATACTGTATAGTTGAAAGATAAAGAAGGTGGCAGAGGCCAGTAGAAGGAGAAGGGTAACAGGTGGATTGGTAATTGATGGGGTTTTGACAGTGATGGATCGTGAATGATGGGATGGAGTATTGTACAAGTAAGGGTGCTGAGACAGTGAGAAAAGGAAAATGATAGGGGCTATGTACTTCATGACAAGAAGCAGACATAATTGGTGAGCTACTGGAGTTGGGAGGATATAATGCTATCAGCGTGTTTGTCAATCACTTCACAAAAAGACAACAACTTTCTGCCATACACACTACAATAACATCTGGAGGAATGGCATGTGTCTATCATGACAAAGTATTCCTGGTCCATGGAATGCCCAGAAAGATTATCCATGATTGAGGTCCTTAGTACCACACCTGATTCATGAATGAGCTGTACAAGTCGCTAGGGATCAAAAACAACTATACAACCACATACCATCCTCAGACCAATGGTCAAAGAGAACAGATAAATCAAGAAATTGAGCACTACAACTGTCTTTTTGTGAATGATTGTCAAAGCGACCAGCATGAATGGCTTCCTGTGATGGAGTTTGTGTACAATGACTGAGTACACTCAGCTGTGAAGGGTTTCCCTTTTCATTTTTATGTGGACAATGGCAGACACCCAGACAAAAGAACCATCCCAGTCCCAAAATCTGACAGCCCAGGAGTTTGTGGATAATATGAGACAGATCAGAAAAGAAGTCAGATTGGCACTGAACAAGGCTGTGGAGGTGTGAAGCGCCAGTATGACAAACATTGGAATGAGGCAATAGAATATAAGGTTGGTAATGGAGTTTGGGTTTGGTTTGAAGGGAGCAATATAACAACAGGTCATCGCATGAAGAAAGCTAGATGACAGATGGTTTGGACTATACAAAGTTCTTGTAGGAAATTGAAATTGGACATGGTTCCTGTAGACTTGACATTTTCCCATTCCTTGCACGTGGAAGAAGAATTCATGATGTCTTTGATGAAAGACATCTGTTCCCATATCATGGGCCCTCGATTCCGAAATTAACTTTGAAATAAGTGGTGAGGGTTGTTGATTCATGCAGATATTGGGATGGGGTTCAGTACAGGGTAAGATGGAAAGGTTGCAGGCCATGTGGGATGATGTGGGAACCTTAAGCTAATATGATGAATGCCAAAGAAGCTGTTCAGGACTTCTACATAGAGTATTCTGACAAGCCCCTCAAACTCTTGAATGGATCGAGATTCCAATTGCCTAGTTTCTTCCCACTGAGTTGTTCTGACCAGTACTTATACCAGATGTAGAGCCAATCCCAAGTACTATGCTGTTTGAAGCACTTGTCAACTGACTTGTGTGTCAGGGAATTTGGGCTTTAAAAGGAGGGGTGATGTTATGATTATTTTTTTTTTCCTTCTTATCTTTTTGTCTTATGTTGTGTTGGCTTTTATCTTGCTTATCTTATATTTTGTCTTGTATTGTCAGCTGATTTATTATTTGTGCTTACATGTGCTTTTTATTTACTTACTTGTATATAAGCTGTATTTTGTTAGCTTTGATCTTGTCTATTCTACCTGGTCCAGTCTAGAGCTTTGCTTAACTCCTTTAGGTTTTCTTGAGTGTGACACCTGGTGACACCTGTTGCTAGAGCCAGTTGCTGACACTAACCACCTCAGATGCAACAAGGAACATGCCATTAGTTAGGTCCACAGGGATCTTGGGATTTTCTAATGCATGCTCAGGTGTAGTAATTATTGTGTATGATTTTATGATTTTACTGATTTGTAGCAAGTGAGCAACTTGAATTGGGGGGTTGATATACTTACTTACAAGTGTTGTTGAGTTGGGGAGATGCTGTGATTGATTTGTTTGGTTGGGACTACAGGATATGGATATACTAAGCAGGTACAGAGTGTGTATACATGGAGCATTAAATGCACAAATGCACAAATGGGACCTTGATGTTCTGATGTCTATGAAGCGTAGATAATTCTCATAAGGATAAGAAGCGGCATTGACCTCTTCACAGCCGAGCTCTGCGAGTGCTAAAGCCCAAAGACGTCGCCACCCATGCAGTGCAATAATGTTCAAATTCTTTACAGGATAATGAAGTCGTGGGTCCATAATCTGGTAAGCAGCGCATCCAACAAAGAATGAACGGTACCGGTCAAGGCATTCCATGAAACGCAAGTGCTTTGAAGGCGGGAATGCGGTGTTCAACAACAAAGTCACGCGAGAATTGAAGATGTCAAGTCCATGCCTCGGCGTCCCATTCCGCCGCTCGGTATTCCGAGATCCACTCTTTATTGTAATCTCCTCCTTATTGTTCTTTCTCGCTACACATACCCTTTCAACCTAGTCTCTCCTTATTGTCTTTTACTTACCCTGCAGGTACTACATGTATAGCTCCTAGTAGTTAGTCTGGCGTTCCGCTCCAATACGCCAATCCGTAGATATAAATACTGCCTGTACGCTACAGTAGTTCCTCAGTTTAATTATCAACTTAGACCGCTTCTTAGTCTTCAGGCTCATCGCCTCAAAGCACTCTCTACTCCAACCTTAGGACTTATAAGTTCTCTGGTTCGCTCCTTGTTACCGGCGATACCGCCGCTCCGACTTGGCTGCTCCTGGCTCCTCTCTTCTCTACTCTCGATCTCCGGGAACTAGCGGTGTAACGGCGGTGTTGTTAATAACTTCACTACTGTCCCATTCAACCCTCCGCTCTTAGACACCTTGTGGCCTCTGGCACGGTTACACGGTGTACATGATCTCAACAGTATAATTAAACTCCATCCGTTAACATCATACTGACATATCATTTTTATGCCTCCGAAAACTCGAGCTCAATCTAGAGCTAATTCTGAAGAAAACACTTTCTTCACTACAGCCCAATCCTTCGCCCCTTTCTCCGAATCTATTTCTGCCATCAGTCAACCATGTCGCCGTAATCGCGGTTTCGGTCCAGCAACTGTCCCTACTACGTCAACTTTTCCCGAAGCTATGGAAGAAGATCAACAATTTGAGTACAGTACTTTGTATACCGGTGATGGACAACCTGTCCAAGTCTTGACCCCTCGCCATGGACAACCCCCCATGGTTGCTCCGGCTCGGGGCCAGTCTATTACTCGAATTGATTCTCCTATTCTCCAAGCCATAGCTCGCCGTACTGGGAAACAACCTCAACGTCGTGCTACTTCGCAATCTCCTTGTGACCCGCCTCCTCACTTCGATCTGGATGCTGGTGATCACGATGACCAAGACCCTCCTGTTGACCCCGACGATCCGGGCGCCGACAACAATCACGACGATCTAGATGACGACTCCGGCGGTTTACCACGTGGTGAGCCTGGTGACCCCAGTGGACCTGGCGGACCTGGTGGACATGGTGGACCCCATTCTCCAAACTCTCCTGACATCCCCAATGAGCAATGTGCTATGTTGGAACTTCTCTCGGGATTCAAGGGTTCCATTGAAACCCTTGGTACCGTTCTCGCCGCTCTCAGCCGACCCTCTGACAGCTCTGAATCTAAGAGCAAAGTCAAGGAGCTGTTAAGATCATGCACACCGTGTAACCGTGCCAGAGGTCACAGAGTGTCTAAGAGCGGAAGACGAGTGGGACAGTAGTGAAGTTATTTAACAACACCGCCGTTACGCCGTTAGTCCCCGGAGATCAAGAGTATAGAAGGGAGGAGCTAAGTAGCAGCCAAGTCGGGGCGGCGGTAGCGCCGGTGACGAGGAGCGAGCCAAAGAACTTATAAGTCCAAAGGCTATAGAGAGAGTACTTCAAGGCGATGAGCCTGAAGAATTAGAGGAGCACAGAGTGAAAGAGGGAATCTAAGTCAATAATTAAACTGAGGAACTACAGTAGCGTACAAGCAGTATTTATATCTACGGAGCAGCGCAGCGGTGCGGAGCGCCAGACTAACTACTAGGAGTTATATGTGTAGTCCTGCAGGGTAAAGTAAAAGACAATAAGGAGGGACTAGAATGAATGGGTATGTGTAGCGAGAAAGAACAATAAGGAGAGATTACAATAAAAGGTAGATCTTCGGAATACCGAGCGGCAAAGTGGAGGCCCGAGGCATGGACTTGACAGGAGCCAGAGGTATTCGACGGTTCGGACCCCTGAAAGCTCAAGACATTCTTCGTCAATCTTGCCCTGGTCTTCAATGACCGACCAAAGTATTTCACCAACCAACGGAAGGTGAATTATACTCTTTCCTATCTCAGTGGTTCAGCCAAAGAATGGTTTGTCCCTGATATTCTCGACCCGGATCTCGACCCACTGCCGGCCTGGACGTCCTCATTCAAAGCCCTTGTAAAGGAGCTACAGGACAATTTCGGCATTTACGACGTGCAAGGCGAGGCCGAAGATTCTCTCGGTAACCTCAAGATGAAGGAAACCAAAAACATCCAGTTCAACACCCTGGCTGCTAGTACCAACTGGGATTCAGCTGCCCTGAAATGGGCTTATGGACGAGGTTTGGCTGAATGCATTAAGGACGGAATGGCGCGTTTGCCCGAGCCGGCGACGCTCGCCGATTACCGTCAAGAGGTTCTTCTCATTGACAACCATTACTGGAAGCGCAAAGAAACTAGAAAGAGTGAGGCTGGTAAGCATTTTATTGCTCGGAACCCGAAGAAGGGTTCC